GGCCAATAAACTGAAGCTCAGTCCAGACAAGACAGAGGTCCTGTTGGTAGGTGGGTCTGGCTTCGGGGTGGGGGACCTGGACCTTGTCCTGAATGGGGTTGCACTCCCTCTTAGGGACAGGGTTCGCAGCTTGGGAGTGCTCCTCGACCCAGAGCTGTCGTTAGAAGCTCAGGTGACGGCGGTGGCGAGGAGCACTTTCCTTCAGCTTCGGCTGATCCATCAGCTGCGTCCCTACCTGGAGAACGATTGCCTGGTGACAGTGACACATGCATTGGTAACTTCTCGATTAGATTTCTGTAATGCACTGTCCGTGGGGCTGCCCTTGAAGACGGTCCAGATACTTCAGTTGGTGCAAAACAGAGCAGCCAGGTTGCTGACAGGGGCTGGGCATTGTTCTCATATAACCCCAGTCCTCCATCAGCTCCACTGGCTCCCCACTGAAGTCCAGGCCCAATTCAAGGTGTTGGTTATCACCTATAAAGCCCTCAATGGCTTGGGACCTGGTTATCTAAAGGAGCGCCTGTGTCCATACTTGCCCTCCTGCCCCTTAAGATCGGCGGCAGAGGCCCTTCTCCGGGAACCCTCCATGAAAGATATTAGGAGGGTGAGTACCCGGAGGAGGGCCTTTTCTGCGGTGGCGCCCCACCTATGGAACGCGCTCCCCAGAGAGGTCTGCCTGGCGCTGTCGTTATTTGTTTTTCGGCGCCAGGCCAAGACGTTTTTATTTAAAATTATTTTAATTGTTAGCTGTTGACTATTTATTGGGTTTGTATATTGTGCCGAGATGTCTCCGGATTTTTAAGGTTAATTGTGTGTATTGTTGTTTGTTTTGTAAGCCGCCCCGAGGCTCTTTGCAAATGGGGCGGCATAGAAATGTTTTAAATAAAAATAAAAACTAAAGATTCCTTACTACAGTAGAACCACAAGTACATATACAATGTTCTATGGAAGTGTGAGAATAATGACCCTCCAAAAAGGCTATTTGCATGGTTTGAAAATGCAAAGCAGTGGAGGACCCTTTGAGCTTATAATTGGGAATATTGCCTAAATAGCTAGATCCAGAGTAATCAAATATTATTAATTTGTACCAAGGACTGCTTTAGATTTTATAATTAAAAATTGATCTAGCAATGCAGCTGAGAGCAACAGAGAATATGTCTGTTCCATCTCCTTTGTGACAGCTCTTTGGACATCTGAACACAGCCATGTGCTTCCTGTTAAACTTTTGTTTTCCACTTTATACATATTTCTGCAGTTCCTCATATGACTTGTTTCCATACCCCTCACCATTTGTCCTCCTTCCTTGTACACACTCCAGTGTGTTGATGGCCTTACAACATGGCCAGAACTGGACACAGGATTCTAGCTGCAACCTGACCAGTGGTGAACAGAGCAGAACTATTCTCATGATCTAGACACTATGCTTCTGATCAAGTTGGACCTAAAACTGCCTATAATTGCTGCAAGGATGGGGCATTGGTTTGCATGGTTCACCCCTATAAGTTAATGAATCCAAGCGGTTTTCTGTTCTCTCTGGAAGACTTTCATGTAGTCTTAGCCAGTAGTCCTCATCCGTTACTTGAGACTTGTAGTCTAACACCATTTGGTATAGAAATTGAGTCATGCTTGTTTATTTATCCACCCAGCACCTGCTGGGCATGTGCTGGTTGCCCGCTCAAACAAGGCACTGTAGTGAAGCACTTGTGTATATCATGTGAGCAGAACAAGATGGAAGTGTGCATCATCCCTGTTGAAATGTGTGGCTTAGGTTACCTGCCTGCTGGCTTGGCTTCTTTCACATTTTTCCTACAACACAGTAGAAGACATCTATGTAAAACAGCCAGCCGGCCCGTGGCAGCAACAAGAAGCATTGCTGCTGGCAGAGGTTGCTCAAGGGGAGATGGCCTTGGGGCCACTGCTCCCTCCTAGCATCTGCGTAAGGCATCTCTGCCAAATGATAGGGTCAGCCCTGGCTCAGGAGTGGAGCAAAGTGAACATGGAAGCAGTGCTAATAGCAAAAGCTTTCATCAAGCTAGGCAGGTTTAGCCTGTGTTGTTCTTGTCCTTTACCCCAAGGTCGCATTCTTCCTTTGGTGGATCTCAAGGAAGGGGTAAATATCCTAAAACCTGACAACTATTTTTGTTAAGGAGAGGGGCCTTTTGTATAGGAGCTCCTTTGGCTCCTTTGTTTGAGTCCATAGAAATCACACTCTTGTTCCATCTCTGCCCAGGTGCTAGAAGTGTCTTCTGTTCATCTGTTGGTTCTACCTGTTGAACTTGCTGTCCTTCTCATTATCTCTCCTTTAATTTCCAGTCTATGCACTGGAGGTTTTGATACATGTAGAAGTGTCAGATTGGCCTACAATACATAACCAGAGAGAGAAATGAGCAGTGCAATAGATGAGCATTAAATTGCTTGTCCTCAGGGACTGTTGAGAAAGGGAAGAGGTGGGTGATCTCATTATGCCAATTCATGGGGAGAGCCACCAACCCCTGCAAGAAAGGTAAGTCAGTGGTGTGGGCAGTGCTAAGTACCAATTAAGTGAACGTCTGAATAGCTGCAAATTTCACCTTTGGTGAATAGGAAGAGTAAAATTTGCTGTGCTGTATTCCTCTTTTCTCTAATTAGGGACTCAGCTGATGTGGAGGGTGTTTGCTGCATGAGGGTCATGTTCATTCTGGCTTGGGCAGAGAATGGCTTGGGCTTTTGCCTGCCTGTATTACTATGTTAGACCTCAGAGCAATATAGCATGGCTGAGGGCACCCGAGTTTCGATGTGGAAATTCTCACTAATTGGTTTCTTGGAAAAGACTTTTGTGATTTGTCTCTCCAGTGCCTAGCAGCCCCAGGGTACAGTCTGAAGGCCTGCATTATGGCAGCTTTCTGGAGGTTACAGCAGTTCTGGATCTGGTTGGTGTCTGCATGGAAAACTGCTTAGGAATCTTCAGTCTACTGCCTTGAGCTCCATGCTTTTGAGATAGGAATATAGTAAAATAGCAAAGTATTTATGTTGTCTTTTCAAAAGGCAACCAAGGCGCACATAAAACTCAACACCAAGAAGCTGTACCAAGCAGATGGCTATGCAGTGAAGGAGCTGCTGAAGATCACCTCTGTGCTTTACAATACCATGAAGACCAAAAGAATGGAGACCGCCACTGTGGGCGAAGAAGACATGGGCAAATTCAAGTTTGACCTTGTCGCAAAAGTAAGGAACCCCATGCTTTTCCTCTTATATGATTGTTTTTTTAAGTACATTTGCATCTTGTTCTTTCACCAGTGAGCTCAGAGGGGCACATCACCTTCACAACTTGTATATAACTAGTAGGCAGAGTTACAATGCCTTGCAAGGGTATCATGGGGAGGTTCATTGAACTGTGAACCTTGGAATTCCCACACCCCTCATACTGCTTATTATTTAAAGTTACAGAAACCAATTTTGTAATTTTATTTTTTATTTTGCTGTGGCAATGGTTTAACTCAGGAGTCCTGCACTGAGGAGGGTTTTGGACATGATGGACCTCTGGCCCCTTTCAGTTCTGCTGTTCTATGATACTATAAGACCTATAAGACCAGGAACAGGAGTGGCAGTGGGTTTGCTGCAGTCCATAAAAAGTTCATCTTCCTCACCAGGAAATCTCTTACTCTCAGAGCAAACACTTGGCTCAAAGACAGACTGGCCCTGCTGTTGGTATACCACCCAACCTTTTCCGGGATAGCATTCCTGGTTGAAGTAATCAGGGATTAATATGCTTTGAATGTTGACTCTAAGACTAATTCAGTGGCAGCTGCTATATAACTTACTGTCCAGTGTTGTGCAGCATCACTTGTCAGCCTTTCTGTTGGTTTTAACACTTTGCTATTATTAAAATATATTAGTTTTTAATGTATCTGTCACTGTACTGAGTGGCGTCTTCCACATCAAATGTCATTTGATAAAGCATTGTGTACATTTAAATAACAATGCATTTTACTCCTTCCACTAACTCCTAGTGCTGGTCTTGTGTGAGTTTCTTTTGAGTACTGTGGTTGAAATGTACAGTGAGACTAGCTTGGTCCTCAACAAAGTATGTTAGTCTTTCTCCTCCCAGGCTTTTAGAAAAAAGTCATCTAATTTATTACTGAAGAGATGTTGAAACTTTGACCTATTGCCATTTTTATACTTACCTGTCTTGCTGCTACCTGTTGTCACTGGCATCCCTTCCTGGCCTATCAAAGAGTCTGTACATGGTATCTAGTAAAATTAGTTGTTGAAGTATCAATAATTATGGATCCCCAAGTGGAACCAGACAGCCTTATAGCTAATTATTCCCACCCTCTGTTCTGTTAGCTCTTCTGCTTTGTTTCCTCCCAGTGTGCTGCTATCAGTTCAGTCAGACTTGAAGCTTTGTATTTTGGTTGTGCTGAGCCAGATCTGAAATGGTAGATTTGTTTGGCTCGTCCACAGCTGGAAGATTAATGCAAATACCACTTCCCAACAGGCTCTTCCTTTGATGAGAAGCCTCATGTGAAAACATGAAATGATGTGTTTCATCATCTCAGACTGGATATTTGGCTTTCCATCATCCCTTTGCCATAAATGGCCAGAAATCCAAAGAGACAAGAGTAGTTTCTATGCAAAAACTGACCTGAGAACAGGTTGTCTTCTCTCTGAGGAATGACTGGTAGTTACTATTGGATACCAGGAAAGTTGCAAATTTCAAGACAGTCCCAAAGCAATATAATGAAATTTATTTTTCTCTCACCCTTGCCAACTTTGGTGTGAAAATAAGCTGCTTTCTCATGTTGGTTATCTTGAATAAATGACTGTTCTGAATGGAAGCTGCAGCTGATTTAGTTCAAGTGTGCCCCTCCTATTTAAGCAGAAGTTCTCTTTTGCAAGAGCAAAAATTCCACTTACAGGTAGAATTTGATTTTTTTTAATAGGCTGGGAGTTTATACAATTTTAGGGCCAACCTAGTTTTGGGTTTTACAGCTATATCTGGGATTTTTTAAGTGTGCTGAAGCTGTATACTTTTATTTTGAAGGGAAAGCATTTGTTTTGGATTGCAAACCGGAATGTATTCCTTATTTGGATCAGTGCCCTTGCCAGGTTCCAGGCAAAAATATCCCTCCTCCAATTTCTGTTTGCTCCTTCTGATGTTTATTAGCACATAGCAGCCAGGGGATTTGTTTGATGGGAAACTGGTGTGAACTGCTGATCCCGATCATGTGTGCCTTCTGAACTGGGGCCCCACATGGCAGCTTTTCCTTCATAAGAAAAGTTATTGGCTCAAGCATGCATTTTAAGTATGACTAACATAGTTTGTAGTCCTCTTACACATTATTCACATCCACTGAAACCAGTGCAGAGATTATGGTGGTTTTGGGATAAGCCCTTCCAACTGCAATCCTGGCCAGATATCTTGCTTTCACTAAAAATCTCTTCTCTTACTCCCACCTACACCATTTTTAGAGGATGGTAATGCTACTCTTCTGTCTTTTGTCTAGATTGCAGATTTGAAGGCAGCCAGGCAGCTTGCTTCAGAAATCACTTCAAAAGGAGCTTCTCTGTATGACTTACTGGGCAAAGAAGTGGAGCTGAGGGTAAGTTGGCAAAGAGAATTTGCTGGCCCTGAAAAAAAAATCTGTTGACATTCTGATAGAAATCTCCTGCTTTTATCCGCTGTGACTGTTTCTGATTTTTGATATTTTTAGATTCTGAAATTCTGTGAAAGCTCTCCAGTCCCTAGCCATGCACATTTCATGCTCTGCTTGATTTCCTTTCTCCATTTTCTTTACCCTCTTGGATTCCTACGTATCCCCACTTCGTTGATTTTTCTTACTTTTTCCAGGTCTTCCCATTCATGCTGTCCCTTGACTGCTTTTACCTTGTCCAGTTGTCACCTTCTTCCCAAGACCTTTCTTATCCTGGCAGAAGGAAGGGCTTCTAGGTGCCAGTGGGTGAACTGTTCTTTTCTGAGTGAGGAGTGTGGAACAGGCTGTGCAGCTTAGCCGTTGGCAGCCAGAGGCTATTCTGCCTGGCCAGCCCCTCTAGGACATCAGGGCAGTTTAGCTAATAACTGTGTACATAGGGAGCACCCCTGCTGTTTTATGTGTCAGCCTGTCCTTTGCAGTCCTCCTCATTGCATGTATTGATGTCTGAATCGGTGCAGAAAGGAGCTGGGTAGCTCCGACATGTGCAGAACTCTGAATCTAGAGATTCAGCATTGTGGCAATTTAACACTTATACTTTCTAAGGCCGCTGGCTAGCACAAAGTTTCCCTATTGATGATAAGCCTGGAAAAGTATTTTTGAATTCCACCCAACCCTTCTTTTGTATGGGAAGCTTATCAACAGCTTTCAGAGATTTAGCAGACTTGGTAGAAGCAACACTGGGCAACCATTCTTACTCAGTGATAAAAACTGAGGATGATGTTCCAAGGGGAGAAAATTACTGTAGCTCACCAGCACCCATTGCAACAATTTTTTTTAATTAGATGCCTCTTTTAGGATTCCACATTCCAGCAAGGATTGTGATGCCCTGTGGAGGCATAAGGTCTGTTTTGTGGAGAGAATGTATTTTTCACTGGATGATGTATTACCACCAAGTGGGGAGAGGCTAGTTGTGTGGCGAAAACACCTGGCTAGTGGACTGCACTGTGGCCTTTCTCTGGAGGAAAGGCTCTTGACTCTGCTTAATTAGGGTCACACTACATCTGAAAGGGAAAGGAGGGTACAAAATCCTTTCAGAATCCAGTTGTGTAAAAATCTCCACAAACGTACCAAGCCACGTCCTTCCCAATGGCCTGTGTTTGTGCTTTTTGGTCCCATACCCCACTTGGGTGATTAATTAAGGCTAAGCTCCAGCCCAACCTCAGATGTTCAAGCTGAACTTCTCTTGCTCTCTGCAGGATTGTGACATTTTCTGTCAGCACTAATGTGGCAATTGATGGCAGTGATCACACCATTCTAGCCATTGGTGGATTGTGTCAAGGGAGGTCTTGTAAATATTAAGGACTCTGAGGACCAGAGTGTGCTTGCTTCAGTGCTGTGCTTTACTTTTCGCTGTTTGTTAATGCGGGGGAAAGTAAAGAGATGAGCTTGAGGTGATGGTTGGCCCATCAGCTAAATTGCTTCCTGTGGACCCCTCCCCCCCAATCAGTTCTAGTCAGGGTGGATAAAAATCAATTGATTAATACTTACATAATGAACAAACTGGATTTAGACAAGACTGTTCATGTAGTTAACTGATTTTTTCCCTGCAAAATATTTCTGAACAAAGCATTGATTATCAAAAACTATTGTCAATTTTATTGATTTTAAGAAAGCATTTGACTTTATTAACAGGGAATTATTATGGAATATACTGTGAACATATGGTATTCCTAGGAAATACGTTAATTTTTTAAAACTTTAAAATAATACTAGATGCTGTGAGAAAACTGAAAATGGCACCACTAATTTCTTCATGATGGATACTGGTGTCGGACAGGGCTGCATATTATCCCCCCTTTTAATTTTTGATGATCATGGATTATATCATGAAAAAAGCAATGAAGAACCCAGACTTCAGCATCCCATGGAAAGAACAAGGCAATTTGACCAACCTGGATTTTGCTGATGACATTGCTCTACTTGCAAACACTATAGCACAACCGAGAGACATGACATGGGCACTTGAAACAGAGGCATGTAAAGAGGCTTAACAATTAGTGAGGGCCAAACTGATGCAGATTGGCAGTGTCTAAGACAGCACAACAGGAGGCCAAGTTTTAAAATATGTGAAGCAATTTATCTACTTTGGCAGTATTGTGGATGCAGATGGTGGGGCAGAAGCAGATGTGAAATGCCGGATGGCAAAGCAACTGCTGTTTTCCAAGAAATGTGCTTGGTCTGGAGCACATCTGCTATAGATATAGCAAGTAAGTGCAGATTATTTAATGCCATTGTTGTACCGATTGCCACCTATGCCAGTGAGACTTGGAAGTTTACAACAAAAATTACCCAGATCAATGTATTTCAGCAACACTGCCATAGAAAGTTATTACATATCACATATTGGGATCATATTATGAATGAGGAAGTACTACAAAGATGTGGTACCGAAAGACTCTCTGAATTGATAACAGAACAACGAATGTGTTTTGCTGGACATGTGCTTCGCATGAATAAACAACGTCTGGCTAAGATCGTGATTAACTGGATACCACTAGATAGTCGGAGGAAGACCAAAAATGATCTGGCATCAAACATTCCTAAATGACCAAAGAAGTATCAACCTGGAACAGAAGGATAAAGAAATGGTTGCTGTGGACTTTGGAAAACATCTGTAGGCCAATGTGCTTCACACAGGATGCCTTCAACTTTCCTGAGCACATAAGGACTTCTTAACTATCGTATTCTTTGTTCCCTTGCAGCATGATTCAGTGTTGGTTGCAATTACAGCACTGGTTAACTCCATCTCTATTGATTGGTGTGTTCATTGTTTAAATTTTTTTCTGCCTTAGCTTACTGGTGTTAATTTTATACTGTGCTTCCCTAATTTTAATGAATAGCAGCTGCGCAATATCATGACTGTTAAGCTCCTGGGTCTTGGTAAACAGTAAACAACATCAGGCCTCTTTGACAAAGTGCTAATTCTCCATTAATTAATACTAATAGCCATCAGATGCATTTTAAATTGTTCCCTGCTCCTACCTACTCTCCACGTGTGTCCTTGCAAATCACTTTTTATGCTTCCTCCAGAAACTGGTAGTGCTTAAGGGTTTATGTTTGCATTAAAGAAAAAATGTGGTGCATTATAAGACTGACGTCCCAGTCCTGTGCATTTCTATTCCCATTTAAGAGCTACTGAGTTCAGCTGAGTTTACTCTCAGGGAGCATGCCTTGTCTTACAAGCCCATTCCTCTGCGGGTTTCTCAAAAGTAAGCTCCATCTACTTTGATGTGACTTGCTCTGAAATAAATATGTTTAGAATTGCAGCTTGAGGCTCTTACAGCATGATTCTATATCAATTTTCCTAGAAGTAACTCCCCCCCCTTTTTTTTTACCAAACAAGCTCGTAAAAATAGAGCTGGTTGCCTGAAAATGGGAAGGGCTCTTGTTGCTATGAGGGTCATTGCCAGTAATGAGACTAACTGCATTTCTACTTCCAAAGAAGCCGATAAAAAATGGCCATCCACCAGGACACTGGACATGCTGAAACTGACTTTCTCAGCTTTGAAAAAATCGGGCTCTACTGATGTGCCTGAGAAGCACAAGGAGAAATGGAAGCACCTCAAGATGGAGGAGGTAAAAAAGGCAAAAAGGAAGAGGCAAACCCAAGCCCATGGAAAGACCTAGGCACCATGCTCCAGTCCATACCGAGCCTCGCAGTTTGCCTGTTCTGTCAGTGGCCCCAGCCACCTCAGCCGTGCCGGCTCAAGCTTCTCCAACTGGGTACCCTTCAGCTGCTCCAGCTCAGTCAGAGCATCCACCCCGAGCCAATGGGACCAACATCCTTATCAGAAGGAGAAATGCAAGACTCACCAGGATACTCCCCAACCACTCCGACTGCTCCAGCCCAATCACTCCTCACCATGAGAGAGACATGGGCCTGGGTCTTCCAATGCCCCGTCCATGCAGTCTTCCTCCTCCTGCTCCATCACTCCATATGAAGTTTCAAACCAATGCCACAGATGTATCAGAGAAATCTGTATTGGGGTCCATCCCCTTATTCGGGACATTATTTTCTGGGCTATCCATGGAAACATGCTCCAGATGTGTGATGCACAGAGACCATGAAGAAGAAAGTAAGGTTGCTTACCTGTAACCGTCATTCTTTGAGTGGACATCTGTGCATGCACACAACCTGCCCTCCATCCCGCTAGCTCTCGCCAGCTGTGTCCTCCATCCCCCTGGGATGCCAGCCTTGGGGCAGGATCAACACCTCTCTCCCTCCTCCATCTTTGGCTGCCAGGGACTCATGACATTCTCCAAGGCAACTGAAGGATTGGGTGGGAACCGCTTCTTTATATACCCAGGAACTGGAAGGGGAGGGCCCCCCACCCACTCCATCATGCTAAGCTATGGAAGTTTTCCTGATCTAGATCTCACACAGGCACAGAAGCCCGTGTGAATTCACAGATGACCACTTGAAGAGTGACAGTTACAGGTAAGCAACCTGCCTTAGCCTGTCTTCAGCCCAGCCTTTCCGCTAGCGGAGTGATGTCATTCTGATGCCTTTTCTCTTCGTGGTCAGTTGCTCCTTCCCTCCTTGTCTATCCCTCATACTCTTACCCTGACTTACAATCATATTTCCACGGTAGTGACAGCATTCAAGTCGCTTCTTTAGCCATTGTGCATCATTTGTCTAGTCGCTGTTATCGCACCGCCACCCACCCCTAATCTTCCCGCTGTTTGCATTTCAGACCAAGACAAATGTTCCCATCACCGCTGCTCCTTGATATGCCGAGGCGGCATAGGAGATTCTTTGTTTTAAAAGGGCATGCTGCTCACTTGTGGGCTGGTTAGGGTCATTAAAATTCAGAGGCTGTTATCTCAGCCTTGTTGTTTTAAAATGAAACATTCCATTGCCTGCCACTTAGGACATACTCTGTCTGTTTATATACCACCGTGTTTCTCTACAGAACTATGAACATTCTCTAGAAAAAAAATGACCACTTTCTTGTTTCTATTGTTATTTATACTAGCAGCCGCTAAAGTGGCTTAATAACAATATTAAAACAATGTAAATAAAATGGTGAACAAAAACTATCATCTCTGAAACGCAGTACAGTCAGTTAGAAACAAGCAGTTACGTCACGTATAGAAGGTAGCAGTGTTGTGGCAGAAGTAGTAGAAGTAGCTTTCCCATAATCCAGCGAATGTTGGCAATTTGATCTCTCGTTCATCTGCCTCTTTGTAACCCATCTTGTACTTCTGGTAGTTCTTGGTTCACATACTGCTGAAGCCGGTCTTGTAGGATTTTGAGTATAACCTTGCTAGCATGTGAAATGAGCACAATTATATGGTAGTTCTTGACAGAGCCACCGCACAATCCAGTCTGGCTGCCTGTAAACCTCCAAATATGGAGAATCATGGGTATTTTATGAAGCCCAGAAGGCACACAGAAGAACAAAGTTGCCTCTGCGCTTCTCCTTCCCTGAAAAAACTGAGATAGCCTAGTTCAGCTGAGTCAGTCTTATCTGCCTGCTTGTAAAGAGGACATGTTAGGGTGCAACCAGATGCTTGACACCCCTGCAGAGTCTCACTCCTCCCCAGCCACTTCCAAAACACCATTTTGGATGTCATTCTTGCATCCTCAGAGCTCCAGCAAGCAGTTAAACAGCCGTGCAGGCTGCAGTGGCAGAGGGAGTCCCAGCTGTGAGGTTGGAGCTAGGATTCTAACTTCTGGCAGCAATGGAATCACACCCTGACATACTTTTCATTTTATTATTTATTTATAACAGTAAAGATAACAAAGCAAATAATAAACAATAATATTGCTTTTCTAATGCATAGATTCAAACCTGTGTAATAAAATGTGGTGGAAATAATTCCAGAATGTGCCAAAATCAATTTCTTAATATATGTTCTTGTCTTTACTTAATAACTCAGTTTCAACTTAGTAACAACATCCTGAATCTTTAAAAAGCCACCAGTCAGAAAATGGGAGGACAATATCTTTTTCCAGTATGATATAATAGAAATAGTTATTATTCCTGTCCAAATCAGGCTTGCATATGCTATCTTTTCAATAGCAGTACCATTAATTTGACCATTGGTGTATTATATAGCCTGTTGTAATCAAAGTCCAGTATAATTTAACTTTACACAATTCAGAGCATGTGCATATAATCAGCTCCTTTATTTTACCATCTCTAGCATGTTATAAATGGTAAAGCAGCTGCCAGACAGATACGTATGAGAATGATGATCTCTCCTTCAGGATGCCACTACAGGGAGAACCCAACTAACGTCCTGAAGAACAGGAGCTCTGTTGATGATCTCAGTTCCTGGGACTGGTTGATACAGAAGGAAGTGTTTTCAGCTAAAGTCTTCTAAATCAGCATTAGCATTTTGAACTGTAGCCATGGTTCTCGCTGGGACCAGCACTTTGAATTATAGGGAAAAAATCCTTATCTTGCTAGGGAATTTTGTCTCTTCTAAGTTCCTTCACTCATCAAATATGGAAGGCAAGCGAATTATAGGTTATCTCTGGAGGAACAAGAAATGTTTAGGAGGGCAAAAGTATTTTATATGAATCAGGCTGCACACATGGTGCTCTAATTCCCAGGGATAGATTTTTATTACCACTGCATCTTCCAGAAGCATTCAGATAAGATTACCGTGTTGAAGAGTTAACTGCACAGCACGAGGAATGCTTCTGACTTCAGCCGTGGTGCTCAGGCATGGCTGTTAGATACAAACTTGGCAGTCACTTGATAAAGTGATATGAGAACTATAATATAGTATTTGAAGAGAAAGCCCAACCAGCCTTTGTGTTGAGAAGGACTGTTAACGCCTCTTGAAATGTTCTGAGCCATTAGTTAAAGCAACAGTTTTTAAAACAAACTTTCTGTTCTGGTATGTATAATCCTTGATTGCTCAGTTAGTTCAGTGTAACTTACTTTTGGGTGTCTGTGTCTCTTCTGTTATCCATGTTCCTGAGATGTTGTAACTGTGTTTTAGGGCATTCTGATATAAAGCTCATACATGGGCTTTACAGATTAATTTCAGTTTTTGGCTCAAACATGCAATGAGGGAGTGTGGTTGTGAGCTACTCATTCTCTGCAAAATATGTGGGTTTCTTGCATTCCTTCCTGCTGTTCCTCAAAAGAACTCAGCAGTGGCATATGTGGTGCTTATTCTGTGTTCCTAACAATGCTGTGATTGGTGAAGCTGAGAGATGATGACTATCCCAAGCCAGTGTTAGCCATGGGTGAGCTAGGAGTTCCCACTCCCAATACAGTGCAATGGCCAATGAGTCAGACTATTGGTCTGCTGGGCCCAATATTCTCTAAATGGCTGGCAGCTAGTCTTCCAAGTTTCAGGCAGGCCTCTTCCCCAGCTCTACCTGAAGATACCAGGGTCTGAATTTGAGACGCAGAATTTGGAGTCTCATCCTCCATGTGTGGTCCTTTTCATTTTAGCTATTCTGCCACACCAGTTCTCTGGAGTTTGGCGTGGCTGAAAATGTTTAAAAAATTGAATCATGTATATCGTTGTGCAATATATATGTTTAAATAATATTTTTTTCTAGCTTCTAGAAATGTCAGTTGCAAAATAATATCGGTTTGCCTGAAACTTGTTCCTATCCCGAAGTGTTCTTCACACTGCTCTGACATTGCTTGAAGGCATTTGGCAAGGAAACATTTCATAATCTTATAAGGAATAAATCTTACTGTTTGTAAATGTGGAGGTGATCCTTGCTTCTCTCTACTGGGCATCTCCCCCCTTGAAGGTGGCACTTTTAGTTTTCATATGTGAGTAATGCCTTCTAAGTATCCTTGGCTCTCTGTGAGACCATGGAACACATTAGAATGGAATCCTGGGAGTGTGTGTGTTGGGGAGGGGGGTGCTTTTCCTGTCTTTTCATTTCTTGGTGGTGGCAGTGATCCTGAGAAAACTGCATGTTCAGCCTTGAGAAGAGAAGGCTGAGAGGAAACATCATATCACTGTAACTCATCAAAGACTGTCACAAAGAACAGAGTACAAAGACCAAGATCTCTTCTTGCTGATACCAGTGTGTAAGTCATGGAAGAACCAGCTCAAGTTGTGACAACCCATATTCAGGCTAGATATCAGGAAAAGTTTCCTCACTGTCAGAGCAATACAACAGGGGAACCAGCTGCCTAGAGAGGCCGGCGGCTCTCCCATGTTAGAGACATTCAAGGCAAAACTGGACAGTCATCTGAGTGGGATGGTATAAATTGGTGACCTGCAACAGAAGGGGGTTGGACACCATGGCCTTTTTGGCCCCTTCCAATTCTACTATTCTATGATTCCTTAAGCTACAGTGGATAAATATTACATTGCATTCCATTTGTTATTCAGGTCCCTTAATCAGAGCCACTAATAATTGTTGCCATACATTGAATATTAATTAATTAGCGGTTCTATCTTTTAACTATTTCTTCTGTTTCTGTTTTTGTGTTTGTGTGTTTGTTTTTGGTTTTGTCATTCAGGAAATGAGAACAGAAGCAATTGGCAGACCTCTGGAGATAAATGAGATTGAAAAGGTGATGAGAGTTGCCATCAAAGACATTTTGGTAAGGAAGGTGATTTTTTTTATATGCAGTGCCTTTCTATGTAATTGGATATCTTATTCAGTATTATGCAGACATGGCGCAGCAGTTAGAATGTTGCACTGGAACTCGAGAATCTTGAGTTCTACTCCCCACTTAGCAATAAACCTCTCTTGGTGACTTGGGCCAGTCACTTTCAGTCTAACCTACCTCATAGGTTTGTTGTGAGGAGAAAATAGAGAGGAGAAGCACTGTGTAAGTTTCTTTGCAAGCAAAAAAGGGCAGGATATACATGCAATAATGTGTGTCCCAACTATGGAATGCGCTTCCCAGAGAGGTCCGCCTGGCGCCATCACTATATGTTTTTCGGCACCCGGTTAAGACCTTTTTATTTAATCAATATTTTAATATGTAATTGGATTTTATTGTTTGTATTTTATTAATTACAGCCAGCGTGGAATAGTCAATTTATCTATTTTATTCTGATTTATGTTGTAAGCCATCCAGAGATGCAAGTAATGGTTGGCATACCAATTTTATTAAATAAATAAATAAAACTAAGTAATATAATAATAATATTATTCAATATTTAGTTTTCAAACCTCTTCACTTACATCATTGTAGGACTTAATATAGCAAATGCAGGTAACAAAACCCCGATGGTTTCCTTTTCTATGGTTCTTTCTCTTTTATTTTTTCTTACGTCTTAAAAGAACACTCAGCTTGTGGGAATCCTTTGGACCAGAAAAACAGGGACTGGGGCTGGGGATGCAGTCCTTCTATCCTACAGAGGAGATTTTGTCTATCCTTCTATCCTTTCTTTGGGCCATCTCATTTTCACTTCCAATCCATTTTTCCTTTAAAAATGTATCAGGAATGACTCTGCTCTGTGGTTTGGCCTTCTGTAACCTTTTTAGAAGCCCCCAAAAGTAAACTAGTTGTTCTTGTCCCAAGTTTTTAAATATTCATCTGGGACTGAGAGAAAATAGCTTACCCAAACTATCCAGTTGAATATCTGTGTTTCTGGAAAGAGGAAGCTCCAAGTAATTACTGTAAATTGCAATATATTGCAACAAAGGTTTAATTTCTTGCTGGCCCTCAAGATAAAAAATATTCAGCCCCCAAATATAGAGTCACCTCGGTTGAAATTTCAAGCAGCAGCTCCGAGAAACAATAGCAGCACTTAGCACATTGTTTCGTGAGTAATATATCCCTATTGCAAATTACTTAAACTAGTTAGTTCCAGTTCATTTAATATAGTGATCAGTTAGAGCAAATCCAGTTAATGCTTTGATGTCAAAATTCTCCTTCGCTAATTAACAGCTTTGAAAGAGCGAAGTTTTTAAGTTCCGTAGTGCATTTAGACTGTGCAGCAAGTTTTTGTTTATTATTCCCCACACAGTTTTCTTCATTTCCTTTCATCACTTCCACTAGGGTTTGCAGGGAGATATAAAAGGGCTCAAGGGGGCTGCATTTTCTCTAAAGTGGCACTTCCAAAGAAAGCTATACTCCGAGCAGTTTTAAATTTTGACAGAGGCTTGTAATTCTTTCCGCTTTGTATTTACCCATGCCGCTTTCTTGAGCTGAGTTTTGGTACCATCTTTCTTAGGTTTCCTCTGGGGAGCTCTTGCTGCTTTGACTTTCCAACACTTGGTAAAAGCATTTTGCTATTTGATGTGAGAATCGAATAGACCCCAAGGATGCCAAAGCATACTGTTCAGATGTGCTGGGCTACAAGTCCCTTCATCCTCAGTCAACATGGACACCAGGCTGGGGAAGGCTGGTTCCTCATACAAAAGTGCCGCTATACAGGAATGAAATCTGGAGCCTCTAAAGGCCCCAGAATATGTGTGTATATGCACGCGTGTGTGTGTGCGCACACGCCAAACTTAAGTGAATGTATTCCACACTATAAGTGCTGCACTAACAACACACAGCTTAGCATGTCGTTAAATGAGAGTTTTCCCTATTTGGTGTTATTTAGACCTCCAGTGTCTGGGTCAAGAGCACAAAGAAAGCCCTGCTGGATCAGACCGAGCGCTCCGTACACATGGTGGCAAACCAGCTGCCCAAGAGTTTGCTCAAACTTCATGTGAATACGTAGTCCAATATGTCATGACATGTTAGCTGATGGAATACCCCTACTTGGATGATAAGATTTTTAAAAATCCAAAACATCAGACCAGAACAGGACTGCGAACTGAAAGTGTCATAATTTACTTGCACTGGCATTCTTGTAGGAGCAAGTCCAGAAGACGAAAGACATGCTGAACAATTTGGCCTCAGATGAAGCCACTTTGGAGGCTAAGATCGAAAAACGGAAGTCAGAGCTGGAACGGAACCACAAACGGCTACAGACTCTGCAGAGTGTTCGGTAAGGACTGACATGCTGCTTCTGTAACGAACGAAGTATCAGTGTGTAGGTTTCATGCATGTGGGCTATAAATCAAATAATTAAATGAATATGCTTTTAAAAAATTCTAGTACTCTGACTTGGGCCATTTCACACTTTTCCTAGAAGTTTAGATAGCCATGTATGTATGGTGGGGGTGGGGGGAGGCATTTTTTATATACAGGCATCCTCATATGCCTGGTTCAAAAAACTGAGCTGGTGGCAGTGATCCCGAAGTGTTTCCCACATTCTGAGGGCTCTTGTGACAGCCCAGAATGGAATTAGGGGCTAAGCAAAGATAGACAATAATACAGCTCTCCTGCTTATCATACAGTTGCAAATACAATATTTTTCAGACTTTTTTTCTGTTCCCTACTAGTCCAGCCTTTATGGATGAATATGAGAAGATTGAGGAGGAATTGCAGAAACAATATAGCTGTTATATAGAGAAATTTCGTAACCTTACATATTTAGAACAGCAGTTGGATGACCAGCACCGAATGGAGCAAGAGAGATTTGAGGTGAGAGCTCTCCACTGTTATGTGACCTTAGTCACTTTTCTTCAGTGCATGCCTTTGTACACACTTCTAATATTGCTGTTAGTCTATCCTGGTTGTCTGCAGTGTACCTGAATCCAGATGTTAAGCTAGAAAGGGGATTTTTTTCTTCTGTGGATAGTTTGGTGGCTTGACTTACTATCTTAGGGCACAAAATGGCCGAAGTGGATCATTCTGAAGAATCCATGAGTGGATTCTTCACTCATGGTAGGACTATGGCTTCCTCTTGACCTTCCAGTTTGCATGTAAGCAGTATACACTTCTTCACTGAACACTGGTTCAGACATCAGTCTTGCCCCGCGGTTATAGATGGGCTGCCCAGATAACATGCCACACGTCATTCAGTTCCTCTTTCATTATTTTTACAAAAAGAATGTGTAAACTTTTAAAAATAGGCCTATAAATTGGGAGGTACATGTGTGAAAAATAAATTAATGACTTCACATGCATGAGCCACTAGGTTTTTTTCCACAGGCAAATCCTATAGAAACTTAGGCACCCTTACATTTGTATAATAGTAGGCTTTTTGAATGATACCTGCGAGCTCTCAGTTTACATACCTTGCTTTTTCAAAACTAATGCAGTTCATCTGCCTGCAGCAGGCTTATGCCAGTTCCCAGTAGAAGCAATAGCCAAGCCAGATTTTGCTCACCTAATTTCAGATGCAGCTGCTATGAATCGAAAATAATGTCAGCCAGACAGGCCAGCTTTAATTCTGGCAAATAAAACATGACAACCTGATTCTGAGTGCCAAGCAAGAGACATGACAGTAGCGTGAAGTCCCTTTAAAAATGTTTTCTGGAGAACATTAAGAATAACTTTGCAGTTCAAAAGTAGATAGATAAGATAAGCAGTTGATGTAGGTGGACTCTAATTTAGGTGGACTGTAATGCAGGAGGATCGAATAACCCATTAAAGTCACTTCCAGCCTATGCTAAAGGATGTCTTTCATTAGAAATGAAGTTGAACAGATTTGCTTAGAACTCAGAAACTCAGTTGTTTGGGGACATTGAATTAGTAGGACTGGGAAAAAGAAATACTACTTCGTATAACAGGTAGTGGAATTCATTTTGATTATATGTGGTAAATGCTGCTGGCTTAGATTACTCCTTGAAACGATAGAGCAAATTTAAGTAAGAAGAAAGCAGAGAGCCGAGATCTCAGCTAAAATCAATATAGTAAGGCCCAACATGTTCTGGGTCATAAAGGGCAGGTGACTCAATCTTTTCAGTAGTTGAGTATTATCTCATAAAATAAGATTCTTGCTTTTTTCCATCAACTTAATGGAGTATATAGTCTTTCTGACCTTGCAACTTTGTGAAGGACAAAGTGAAGCACAGCTTTGTTGTGTCATTTTCTGTATTGACAAACAGACAAAATTTGAAATCAGATGTAATAGGACTCCAACATTTGCAACACCTCCTTCCTCAAACAGATGGATCTTTGATTAATTTTCCAGTCCTGACTTGCCTTTTCTTCCAATTAACTAACCTTTAGCAACATGTAGCAGCAGGAAACTCTGCCCTCTGTGCCTTCTTTTTTTGAACTTCTCTGAATAATATGTTATCAGAATAGCAGTGGCTTTATGATCAGGTTTAACCTCTTTCTGTATTGAGAGATGTCTTCTTTTTGTGTGCTTGTGGACAAATAAATATTTATAAGATGAAATTGTGCTCCCACCTTAACATCATCATCAATTAATGAGGCAGTAATCTCTGCCTCATCATCAGCAATATGCAGAATATGACTTTCAATTAAAGACACACTTAAAACAAGACAAACTAAAAATATTGAAAACCACATGCTGCATAAAGGCAAGCACGAATCATTGTCAACATACTGATCAAGTAGACATTTTTCATGCAAAGAGAAAACTAATCAGGGCTATTCCAAAGCCATCTAGGACAGAACCACCTTGTTCTGCTGGTTAAAAGCCTACACAGAAGGGAGTCCCTAGAATGGACATTCCATGACTGGATTTATTTATTATATTTCTGTGCTGACCCATTCCCAGTGCTGGCTCCAATTCTCTGAGGCCCTTTGGACAAATAATCCTCAGTGGGACTGCTCCCTGAGTCTGTTTTCTCACTGCTGTCGTCACCAGCTGCTCTTTCTCCTGATCCTTCTCTTGTATCACTAATATCCCTTGTTTAAGAGATGGGGTCAGTGCACAAGTTGGCACAGCATGGCACCTGCTGCTGCTCCTCCACATCACCACCCTGGTCTGTGTCAGAGTGAAAGGCAGTTGAACAAGCAGGTGAAGGGTGCTAGGTAACAGGAACTGCTCAGCATGCTTCCAGGCACTAGGGGTCAATAGAGAATGCATTATCTCTACAGCCGTTTGTCTGGGTCATCCCTCTTGCCCTTCTGTACTTTGATTCTGTTCTTTTATTCTCTTCCCTTCCTCTTTGCCTCTACAACAGGCAACTTTTCCTCTCTCTTTGAGGAACACAAGACACAGTATCCCATGCCCTTGCTTGCACCTGCTTTAGGGAGTGCTTTGGTGAATTAGATAGCCCTCTTTGAAGATGTGTATAAAAAGTAAGCTGCTCTGAATGTCTTCTAAAGTAGCTCCAACCTGCATTTGTTTTCACTAATACCAATGCTTTCTTCCATGCTTTCTCTGTGTAAGGCAGCTCTGCTGTAAATCACACCAGACTTTTCAACAAAGAAGAGGTGGTAGCCTTAGGATTTTGCCTTTTGTACCTCTTTAATTTCTCTAGCCAGTGACTGAGAGCTAAGATAGCCCAGCCAGGTAAACAATACTGCAGTAGCACAATTCCTCTCCTCTCAATATTGGTTTTAGAAGCCCAGCAGGAGGGCCCAACATGGAGAAGAATGCTGGGCACATACTCTATCCTTAAGTTCTTCTTTGTGGTCTCTGTACTTCAAACATAAAGGCTCTGCACCTGCACGGAGCCTCTTGTTGAGCAGTTTCTCTAACTAAGTGTTAGTTTGGGCATGAACCCCTCCTTTCCCTGTTCACCCACGGAAGGAGCTCCTGCCTGTTCCCTCAGATTCTTTTCAACTGCCTCCATGCCTGGGTTGGGAAGTGTTTCTCTCCTCAATAAGTATGTTTTCTCCATTTATTTTTATTTATTTTCAAATATATATGCTATTCAGTAGCCTGACAGGACACTATAAGTGGCTAACAATATACAGCAAACAGTACAAGTAGAAGAGGAAGAGGGGAAGAAATCTCTTAGAGTGGATTGAGCACTTATAATCAGGTTTTAAGTTGAGGTTTCATAAAATCTGCAAAAGAGGATGGTTTTTGCCTGGCACCAAAAGTAGAGACAGCACCAGACAGACCATTTTAGAAAGCCCATTCCAAAGGTGTGAGGGGCAGTCACCGAGAAGGCCCTTCCTCTAAATGCTATCCTGTTTACCTCTTTTAGGGTTGGCTCTCTTAGAAGTTCCTCATTCCCAGATTCCAATGGGTGGGTAGGAATACATTGGAAAAGGTGGTCCTTCAAATAACCAGGTCCCAAGCTGTTAAGGGCTTTGTATATTAAAACAAGCACTTTAAATTATGCCAGGCTTCAACTGGCAACCAATGTAATTTGTACAGAATTTGGTGTTATGTGGGCACGTGGGCTGACACCTGCTACTAACTGTGCCACCCAATTTTGGACCAGTTAACTTCACCGGACCATCTTGAAAGGGAGCCCTATGTAGAGCACATTGTAGTAATCTAGTTGGGATGTTACCACTGCAGCAATAACCATGGTCAGGCTCTGTCCGTCCAGATAAGGATGTCGTTGTATTCTCCACAGTAGTTGTATTCTCCACTCCTGGCCGCTGAGTCCACCTGAGACTCCAATGAGAGCTTTGGGTGCAGGAACATTCCCAAGCTGCAGACCCTCTCCTTTAGGGGAAGTGCGACCCCATCCAAGTCAGGACGGAGCATTAATCAAATGTACTTCTGTCTTGCCTGGATTGAGTTTGAGTGTATTGGCCTTCATCCAATCCATTATCAAACTCAGACAGTGGTTCAACATGTGCCTTGCTGAATCTGATGTAAACAAGAGGAAGAGTTGAGTTTCATCAGTATACTGCTGATACCTCAGCCCAGTCTTCCTGATGACCTCTCCCACTGGTTTCATGTAAATGTTAAAGAGCATGGAGGGCAGTATAGAGCCCTGTGGAACCCCCTAATGTAACCACCATGGCGTAGGCCAGCTGCCCCCCAGTCTCACCCTCTGGACATAATGAGCCAGGTAGGAGCAGAACCCTTTTCTCTCTACTACTTTCTACTCCTTGGCACCCTAATCAGCCACTATCTCTCCATGAACTTCATTTTCACTCTTCACTTGCCAAAAACAAACCAAACCAAACCAAAACAGAACACCTTTCCTACCTGCTTTCTCTCTGGTCTTTTGCATCCTTCTACCAGGATCTTTTGCATCCTTCTATTCTCTACTCTTTGCCTTCACCATCTGCCATGATGGCATTAAAGACATCCTTTAGAAAGTGTCATGTGAGGACATTCTCCCCCATGGACAGACACTCCCTCTGCATTTCTGTTTGGGTGAGGGACACATTATTGAATCGTACCTGCATTGCAGGCCTTCACAAAGCAGGCCTGCAAACATGGGGCCAATTGACTGAGGGCCAGGATTCTGGTAGCCACAGATTCCTGATGCCTAACCTCATGGCCAGGAAAGTGCGCATGCTTGGGGACGAAGATGGCCACCACCACCAAGTGGAAGTGCGGATGCCATGAGAGCCCCTGTCTATCATCAGTGTCAAGGCCGTGGTCAATACCAAAAGAGTACTCAGACCTGAAAAATGGTTCAGTCCTGGGAGGGAGCCCCTATCCATTGTCAACCCTGAGGACCTGGTTGGTTCCGGAAGAGTGCTTAGACCCATGGGACCACTTGTTACCAAGGCAGAACCACTTGGTACTGAGAGAGGCCCCATCATCTAGTGAGGCCAAGGCCACTTGGCACCAAGAGAGGCCC